ATAATTTTGATTTATATGATTTTAAATATAATTTGATAAGCAATTTTGATTGCAATACGATGAAGTAATGCTTGTACTAATGCTAATGCAATGATTATGAGAATAATTTCAAATTTAACTTTTAATTTAATTACTATTACTGCTACATAAGTAAGTCAACACACTATTAATTGTAATTTTATTTGTTACTTATGAGTTTAGTTTAGTGTTCTTCATTATTACTTTGGCTGATAAGTAACTTTGCTTTTAATTAAAATACTGGCAAGTTAAATCTTTGCAAACTTTTCATGTAACAATATAAAAGTTATTCTGTTATTTTAAAAATTGGTTATAAAATTTTACGGTATGAGGTGACAAAAAGAAAGAAAATAAAAGATAAGTAAATGGAATAGTTAAGCTAACTAATTGCAGGTAGTAAAATTGAATATGAATTACCTGAAATATTTGATGCTTTTAAAAAATTAGCTCAAATAGTTAAGGGTTGATTTCTGTAAGTTATCATAACAGAACGAGTGATAAAATAATACATTACCCATAAATAGAAATAGGAACTATTAAGGAAACTTATAGTGTAATTAATTTAAAAGTTTGAATATAATTGATCTGAAATATTTGTGCTTTTAAAAGTTAGCTAAAATATAATAACAACAAAGAGTTGGTTTTTTTTTTTTTAATTATTGCTATTTCAAGTGATAAATTTTTAAAACTTTGTAAATCCCATATCTCTTTCATTTTTTTTTCTTTTTTTTTGCTTTTGGAAATGTTTTTTTTCTCGCAATTAATAAATCTGAAATTTTTCCGACTTTAAATTCCCAAGTTGTAATTTTTTTTTTTTTTAAACATTCAAAAAATAACAAAAATTCTTTTTTTTTTCTTTTATGTGGATGATACATCTCGAAATGATAAATGCATTGAGAGAGATGTTATCAATATCGATTCCACTTCACCATTCAGTTTTGGATTAAATTTTTAATATGTTTATAGATGTATGTAACTAATTGAAAGATATTTATAAGTTCAAATTGACCAGTATTTTCTTTTTTTATCATTTTTATCAGCAAGTTTGATTGATTAGAGAATAGAGAAAAAAATTTTAATCAACAGATGAAAGTTAATGAATTCTTTTATTCCAAAGAAAGAAAAAAAATTGGCTTATTTGATAGAGTTAATTCTTAATTAATTTAAAAATCTTTAAAATTAGCAATTAAAAATTATTATTATTTTTATTATTTTCTTTTTAAAGTTTACAAAGTACTCTTTTTACAATTCTTTTAGCGCTAATTTTTTTTTTTTAAATTTTGTTAAATACTGATATTTCAGCTAGAAAAATGATTATTTGATTCAATCCTACCGTATTCTTTATTAAGTACCTATTATTAGCATATTAAATCCAATGTCATTCAAATTGTCATTTAATATTACTTCCTAAATATGTTAGCACATTTAAGCCTAAATGTTATAGAATTACTCATTAACATAGTTTTAGTCTCAAATTAATTAACATCGATCAAAAATAAAATCCCATTCTTCCCAATAATTTTTAAGTTACTCTCATAAAAGTTTGTTATCTAACCTAACCTAAAATTATAATTAGGGTTAGATCAACTCTCATGCCAGTGTCATTTTGGTGACAGTTGCATCAATTCTCATGTTAGCATCATTTTGAAGTGTGACTATTACATTATTTGTCACGTTAGTGTCATTTTGAAGCGTGACATTAGAATTAAACCTTTTTTCTTTTGATTTATAATATTGTCATCTACTCTAGTTGAATGACAAAAAAAAAAAAAAGATGCATTATTAAAATAGAAAAAATGATAGCAATGATCCCAATTCAGACTAAAATTGCTATTATTTTCTTTAATTTTAACAAATTTATAAAATGATTTTGTGATTATCTTTTGCAAATGTAATTAATTATTTAATTTAATTGCAAAGAAACTAACAAATCTGATGCTATTAACATTTGGCTAATACATTTATTAATTTAGTCACTGCACATTGCTTATTTTGAAATTTGTAATTAGAGTTATGAAAGATTTAATTCTAATTTCATCGTTATTAATTTCAAATATACACTTCATTTTAAATATTTTGTATTTAATATTTAATGTTAAAAAAGTTTACTTCTTTCTTATTTAATCCATTTTTATTGTAATAAGATATCTTATAAAATTTTATAAAAGTTTAATTTTAAAATATTTATTGTAATAAGATATTTTAAAAAACACAACCCTAATAAATGTAAGTTTTATTCTCTGCTTTATTGAACTATTGTGGTAAATAAATTTTTTTTTTTTTCATCTCTATCTAATATTTACTTGAATAAGTAGTTAGATAATAATATTACAATTAACTTATTGAACTTTAATTGCTTTACTAGTAACTATATTTGAAGCTAAAAAAAGCGAAAAGAAATGGAAATTTTAGGGTATCATAAAATGTTGCATTCGATTAGTTGAAATCAAATTTGACATTTGAAAGTAATAATCAAAATGAATTTGTAATTCCATTCAATCAATCTTTTTACTAATTCGAACTTTTTCATTTCTTCCTTTTCTCATTCTTTCTTCCTTTTTTTTTCTTTGTTTTCCTATAAAATAAGGAAATTTTTTTTTTCTTTTTTTTTTTTTTAAATGAAATAAGAAAGTACAGGCAATTATATAAGCAAAAAAGTTTCATATTTCAAGTTAATCCTCGGAATGAAACAAAAAATGCAAAATAGCTAGGATTTCTGTTTTTTTTTTTTTTTTTTTTAACTCATTTTTCAAATTTTCCAAATGATTTCCTGATTTCATAATGATTCCTTTCATATATTAAAAATTTAATAAACGTTTACAACAAAAAATTTTTTCTCATTTATCTACTATACATTCATCACTTTGAAAATTTTTTCAAAAAATTAATTTTTTAATTTCTTTTCGATCATTTTAAAATTACTTTCAGTTCTTTTGTTTCAAATTTCTTCTTTTCAAATTTAAAAGTTTTTACATAAAACACAAATTTTTTTAATGCAAATATGACTTTTTTATTATTTTAATAAAAATTAATATCTATTCCTTTTAATTTAATTTAAACCAGCTAAAACAATAGGTGTTAATTTGTTTTTAACTTCATTTAGAATTTTCCATCACAAACATCACTCATCCTTTGCGAAAATTTTAACATTGTCATTATAAATCAAGCTAGTGTCAAATTTGATTACTCTAAAGAAAAATTACAATAACTTTTTAGCTTTATATAATTTATGAAAGAAGTAAAAAAAAAAGAAAAGAAAGAAAGAAAGAATGGAAAAAAGAAATGGTAAAATAATTTTGTTTTTAAATATAATTTCCAAGCTATACCATTTAACTATTCTAATTTTTAATTAATTAATGATCTTTTTTTAATTGATTCATTCTTCCTCTCTTCTTTTTTCTTTTTTTTTTTTTTTTTGTTTTCTAAAAATTAATTTATTTTTTCTATTTCCTAAAGTTTAGATCTTCTGTCCCAAAAAAAAAAAAAAAAAAAAGAAATTAAGTAGTACTATCATTGCATATATTTTGCTTATTTTGAACCTAAATTTTGTTATTTTTTTTTCTCGTTTCATTTTGAGTTTAAAATTTTACTTTTCAACAATATTTATTTATGGAATACCTTTTTCAATTCAAAAATTTTCTACTCTAACTATGATAGCAATACATTAGCTAATGAAAAATACTCATTACTAAATCTAATTTGCATATATATTCATATATATATAAGCTTTAATGCATTTCAACAAATTTTAGTTTTCTCCATTTGTTTCTCTCTTTCTCTCTCTCTCCTTCCTCTCTTTTATTTTTACCTCATTTTCATTGATTACTTGTTAAAAGTTGAATAATTTTTAAAATCTAATTGAAAATGCTCATATTTTACGTACGTGTTATGCGCAAAATTAAATTATTCTTTTAGTAGTTTTGAAATGAAATTTTTCTTAAAATTGAATGATGAAAATAATATTTCATTCTTTTTAACATTCCATTTATCTAATTAGTAATTAATTTCTAGTTTCCTTTTCATTTCTCTATCTGTCTTTTTCCCTATCTCTCATAATTTGTGATATTTGATTGAAGTATGTTAGTAATAGTTTAATTAAAATAAATTTAAATAATTTTTTTCGACGTACCTATTTTGATCTCGGAGGTATACGTAAATGTACAATTGAATATAAGCGATGTTTATTTTTTATTCTGAAAATAATTCGAAAAAAAATAATTAGTTATAAAATTCTATTAAATAAAAAAAATTGCTATGTCTAATTTTTGTCGTTGTTGTTTAAGCTTTTTATAAAATTATAATTTTGTCCTTTTGTTTAAATTAAAATAGTTAAATTAATAAGTAAAATTTTATCATTAAGTCTTACTTTTTATTTTTCATTTTCCTTTTACAATTTGTTACTATGATTTTTAGTTAATATTATGATACTATGAGTTAATATATTATAATATTATGATAATTTTATCAATAATTTTACATATTTATATTTGAAATTATATTTGTGTGAAAATAAGTATTCTTAAAGTGATAAGCAATCATTCATTAAATTTTCAGCCATTCATTTCAATTTTTCTAAAACCGATTTAAAAATATATGGAAATATTACCAATGATAGGACTAATAATATAAATACTCGCAATGTGTTTAATTTAAAAACAAAAAACAAAAAAAAAAAAAAAAGGAAATCGATTCAGATAATTTCATTAGAAATCATTAATTAGCTGCTAGTTTAATCTCATTAATTTCAGGTTAAAGGAATAAATTCAAAATATGATTCATTTCCAAAATTTTGATTATTTTATCATTCGGTATCAATTCACATTTAATTATTTCATTGATCTTAATATTAATACCTAAAATTTCAACTGAAAGTGTGATTTAGCACTGCTAATTTTGCTGTTATCATATTGTGATATTTATTTGATAAGCGGATTTGATAGCTTAAATGAAAATGTCAGAATATTAAAGCAAATAATACTTCAATGAATAACGATCAAAGATCATTGTTAGTCTTCTCGTTTTATTCATTTTTAATCTACAAACAAAAATAAAATAAATCATTCCTGTATGAATTTATCAGTAAACTTAGGAATAAACTTTTTCAATAATTTGAAAGACAAAAGTTTTTTTACGAAGTAATATAAATTGTCACAGATTTTACTTAGTTACACAATTCAGACTATTCTGGCTTACTATTATTATTACTTACTATCTATTTTAAACTATAAAGAAATTTTTTTTCTGAGCTTTTTGAACATTTCAAAATAATTTTATTGCAATATTATCAGAGTATCAGGACTCGATTTATCACTATTTGTTATATTAGAATTGCTTGGTTTAACAGCAATATTTGGTAATGCATCACTGATTGCTGTTTTGGTGAAATTTAATTATTTGAATAAACCAAGGTTAGTATTACTAATGTAATGCATAAAAGTATCATAATTATCTAAGCATAAGTAATTATTAAGCATTCATTACTTACAATCATTCTTTAATTGTAATCATAAAGCAGTTAATAGCTATACGGAATAATAATCAGAATTTATTTACATCATAATCCAATTCACATTATGCTTAATAGTATTATAATTAATTAAGCATTCAATATGACATGATATTTCTGGCTAGAATTGTTAAAATTATTAGAAAAAATTTATAACAGATTAGAAAAATATCTAAAAAAAATTCTCATTAAACAAATCATTCATTACTGTTAAAAAAAAAAAATTTTTAAGCTAGAACTATTATTGAAAAATTATAAAAATATCTAGAATTATTATTAAAAAAAAATATTAAAATTACCTAAAAAATAAAAAATTATTTATTATCAAAAAAAAAAAATGTATTTATAAGGAATAAAAAAATAGAAATTTTTTAAATATTTTATGAATAAGCTAATAATAAAAAAGAAAAATTAATTTTTACCAGTATTTTCTCTTCATTTAAATTTTTAATTTGTCATTTTTTTAATTTTTAAAATATTTAATTTGCTTTAAGAAAAAAAATAATTAAAGGAAATTTAAAAAGAAATTGTTAATTAACTTTCTTTCATTTTCTTTTCAGTTTTATTCTTCTTCTTAGCTTAGCATTTGCTGATATATTGCATGGCATTGTGACAATTTTTTACTTTTATCCACCAATTATACTCAAAGGACATTATTTATCATTGCAATGGATGAAAATTTTTAATACAATCGATTGGATTGCGTGGGCGATTACACTTACGTAAACATTCGTTCCTTTTTAAAATAAAAGTTTTTTTTTGTTTAAATTTGAAAATTAAAATATTGAAATATTTAAAAAAAAGAGGGTTAATTCTGCTTAAGTAAGTTTCATTTGATTTAATATTAAAAAGGAAAATTAATTTATATAATAAATAAGCTTCGTATAATAAGTATATGCAGAAGATGGAAAAATTATTTAATAAATTTTCAAAGTATAAATTTAAAGATGGATTAATTTTATTTGCTCTCCAGAAATGAATTTGACTGAAATGATATTACTAATTAAAAACGGTTGATTTTACTAATTTTATAAATGTAATTTATACAATTTCAACTTTAATATTCATCAATTATGCCATTTAGTAGGAATTTTTTTAATTTGGAATATTTTAAAAAATGCTATTTTCTCTAAAATTTTTTATGATAACAAATATTTTTTATGTTCAGTTATTTTATATAAATTTAGTAACAATTAGTTTTATGAGTAAATATTTACAATTTTTTTCAAATATAAATTAAATTTTTCCGGTGCAATCTAATATTTTATTGCTATCAAAATTTATTCTACCACAACTTTTATATGCATTTTAAATTTTTATACAATTCAAATTTTAAATTAGACATATAAGTGCTGTTTGTTTGGATCGACTGGCTGCAATAATATTTTATGGCCGTTATACGCTGTTAGTTTCGTTGACAAAAATACGTTATTACAGGTAAATTGCATTTTTTTTTCTTATTAATAAAATTTTTATTTTAATAAATTCTTTTAATTTAATTGAATTATTTTAATAAAAAACCATAAATAACAATTGTATCTAAAAAGAGAAATTTTTTCTATTTTAAATGAAATTTAAAAAGAATTTAAATTTTAAATGAATCTTTCTTAAATTAAAGAAATTTTTCAATAAAAAATCACAATTAAAATATTTCTTTCACACTTTAAAATTCCTGTTTAACTATGTCGTAAGTTTACCTTTCCTTTTCGTTTAATAATAATGCGTTACAAGTAATACTAAATTATATTTGATTTATTATGTTATATTTTTATGACAAAAATTTGTTATAAATTATTTTGCTAAATAATTTATTAAAAAAAAAAAAAAAAAAAAAAAAACTGAAAAAATTCTACAAAAAAGATTTGTTTATTAAAAAAAAAAAAGCTTCATTTTATAATTTTAGCATATTTTGTTGGATTTTTTTTATTGGTCAAAATATAATTTTATTATTATCGAATGTATGTTGTATGATTATTCCATTACAAAACAAAGAATATTACACATTTGGTTATCAACGTGATAATAGTATGTATTTTTATCACATTTCATTTCATTTTTATCACTAATTTGTAAATTAGTATTTAAAATACGTTTTTCTATATAATTAATAGAGAAAAAAAAAATTTTTTTTTTTCTTAAATTATTAGATTTGATAGCAAAACAATCTTTCTTCTTTTTTTCCAATTTAATAGATTGTAAATTAATCGAAACAGAAATTTAGATTTTTTAAATCAAACTAACATCTATATTTATACATATACACCACTTGAATTAAGTACAATTATAATAATATCTATATCAAATCCAATTATATTAATACAATTATACAAACGTTGGAAAAGGAAATGTGCTCTTCAACAGTTAGTTTTTTCGTTTTTTTGTTTTTCAAATTTATTATGAAAAGAATTTTTTTTTTAAGTTTGAAAAATTTACAAATAAATATATTTCTATGATGTTTATTATTCAAATATTTTGCTGCTTTATTATTTTTTGATGCTAATAAAAGAAACTAAGCTAATTAATTACTACAATATAATTAATCAACAACTATTTAATGAATAATCAATTATTTCATATTTTGCTAATAATAATCTCATAATTCTCATTTCACATTCTTTAATCAAATACTTGTATAAATATTCTAGTACTACATATAAAGTAGAAGAATGCTATTGAAATTATTGATTGATCAGAAAAATATTTAGAATAGAAATCATTGATAGAATTACTCATCGATGACGAAAGTGTTATTACTATTGGTATTATAGAAGTAAAGTGAAATTAAATCATTTTATAAATTTCACCCTAATATTCTATCAATCTCATTTAATTAGCAACAAGTAAATTTGAATAGTTTTTTTAAAAAAAAAAAAAATTTTGAAGAATAAAATGTGGATTTAATTAGCATTCCTAAAAGTCATCTAATAATGACAGAATGAAAAAATTGAAAAGGAAAAATAAGGCTCATTAGCTGTTATAGCTTATCCATAATTTTTTTTAATACAATTTCCTTTCTTTTTTTTTTGCTTTATTTTTTAATTTATTAATTTTAAGTTATATTTCACATTTTTCACAATTTTAAATACAAAATAAATATTTAAGCAAAAAAAAAAAAAATAATAATAATCAGATAATTCTACTTTTTCTAATTTTTGTAATTGGAAAATGTAGGAAAATTTTTTTTTAATTCTTTTCGTGTTTTAGTTTTTAATGTTTGCTTCACTAAACAAATATTTTTAAAGAAAAAAAATTCATTTATGCAAGAGATATCATTTCAAAAATGAGTTTTGAAAAAAATTTCACTAAAATTTTAAAATAAAATACTGTAGAAATAAGTGAGGGAAGAAATAAATTCGAAAATAAATTATTTGAACACAATATTAATTAAGTAATTAATTTGCTACTTTAAATCAAATAATGTTTTATTTTTTTTTTCACTTATGCTGTTATTCATGAAATTAAATGCAAAGTTGGTAATTAATAATGGACTGTTAATGAATTGAAATTGTTAAATGAGTTTTTTTTTTTCTCTGATCATTCATTTATTAATTAAAAATTCAATTTATTAATAAGCTAATTGATTACTTTTTATCATTTTCTTAATATGGCATAGTATTGTAATGATTATATGAGACAATGCTAATATTCAAAGAATAATTTAAATTTACTCAAAATAATTTGTTTATTACCTTAACTTTAATGATACTTTTTTTCTTGCTTATTACTTTAACTTTAATAAAACTTTTTCTTATTGTAGTGCCAGCGTTTTACTATTAGAAATGTCAATGAAATTGGGAGCGCAACAATCTCATATCGAATTAACAAGAAAATCTATGCAAAAAGCAAGCCGACAACAACAAAGGATTGTCCTACAGGTCATGCGACATTTATTTTCCCATAGCTTTCATTGAAATATATTTGTTTTGTAAATGAGAATGCATATTTCAACAATCACGGAAAAATGCAAATTTACAAATGTCACACACGGCAAAAAAAGAAAACGATCACGTGAGTGACGTTTAAATAATACACTCGGTTCACGTAAAAAAAGTGATGAGAAATACTAATGAAAAAAAGTTTGGAAGTTTGAAATGCCATAAAAATACAAAAATTTAATTTTACATCCAAAAGATAATTTCATTTAAATAAAAAAAAAAATACTTTTCATAATTTCAAAAAAAAAAAAAATTACCTTTTCAATAATAATGCATTAGAATTACCATTGAAAGAATTTTTGATTCTCTAATTTTTTATTTATTTTGCTGCAAAATATTTTTTATGCTTGAAAAGTTTTAGTTTTAAAATTTACTAATTTAATAAATTTAAATTTTCATCTTTTAAATGAGTGAGTTAATGAAATGCTTGCTGAAATATTTTGTCAAATTATTTACTGTAATTTGACATCAATTAATAAAACATCAAATATCTTTTTTGTAATATATCAAATAAGTTTGATACGTTAAAAATTATACATAATTTCAAATTTAATTTTTAGATCGTTACGGTGGTAGCAATGTTTTCTAGCTATATGCTTATATATTATTTATCATATTATATTTTTCCATTTAACTATAAATGGGTTGCCGTATTGCATTCCGTTTCTTATTCCATTACGCACATTTCAAATCCGGTATTTTATTTATAACCACATATAAGTTAATTAATTAATTAATAAATAGATGACAAAAATTTTTTACTCCATTTTTCTAAGCTACGCATATTAAAAATTAATTTACAATGAAGTTAAAAAAAAATTGAATAATTAGTTTAAGACTGAATAATTATTTAATCAATTGTTAATTAATTTCTATAATTCCAAAACTATTTTTTTTTTTTTTTAGAAAATTTTAATATTTTTTTCAGGTAATTTATTTTACATGTAATAAAGAAATAAGAAAGCAATTATTTACTTTATGTATTGAATTATGGCAGTATTTTTTGTCATGTAATCGTGGTTTACTATTTGAACGATATCAATTTCCGCTGCATACAATAGAACGTACACAACAAATAAGGTTAATTCATTTCTATTTAAATAAACTATCCTAATTATTTGTTATTTGCATAATTGATTAAGTTTAATTAGAATAAAACTTTTACTGAATTTATATTCAAAATAATCAAAGCAATTGTAGTTATTTGTTATATTTTACAAACAATATCATTTAATTAATTTTAATTTCATTTTATTAATTCAAAAAAGAAAAAAAAAAGAAAAAATCTTCAAATATGCTAGTAAATTTTTATTCTATCATACTATTTTTGAAGTAATACTAATAATATATATTGAAAATTATAATTAATTTATAATTTATCTTATCGATAAGCATTTTCATACTAATTTCCTCCTTTCTCTTATATGTTTCTTTTTCAGACGTCTATCAAGTGTTGAGTCTCAAAAAAGAATGCAACAATCTAAAACAACAACAACAACAGCAACAACAACAACAACAACAGTTGATATAATGATAAAATTATCAACAAATATTATTACAGAAATGGATACATTAATTAATTTTGACGAATATGAAAAACAACAAATTGAAGAAAAACAAAACGAGCAAGAGTATTAATTTTAATTATTATCATAGGTGTTGTCAATTACTTGCTATCATTTTAATCATTTGTAGTTTATTCAAACATTTATAGTTTATACAGAAATTAGTAATATAAGTTGTTAAAATTGAATTTTGTTATTTATTACATGGTATGAGTTTGATGAATTTTATAGTTTGAATGAGTTTTTCTTTTTATTTTTTCTTTTTTCAATGATATTTGAATATGTTAGAAATATTGCAATTTGAAATGGATAAATATTTTCGAATTCAAGAAAATATTTTTCTTTTATTTTTATTTACTTGCTTATTTACATATCAAAATTTTCATTATTTGTTCATTTCTTTCACTGTTTTTTTTTAAAGTTTCTTTTTCATTTTCTCATTGCTCATAACAAATTCCTTTTGAAAAAAACATTCAATGAAACAAGAAAAAAAGAAGCGATAATTGAGTAAAATATTATTTTAATTTCAAATTTAATTCAATTATGAAACAAATTTCTTTTTATATCGCAACTTACTCAGTGCTCTTTTTTTTTATTTAAATGTGTCTTGTCCAGTAGAAAAAAAACTGTAAATTAACTTTTTTTATTTTTTATTTTTTGCAATTATTTCATTAACTTTTGAAAATCTTTCAGCTCTCTACAGAGTTATAAATGCAATTTATTTGCAACGATCAGTTCAAAAATTAAACTTTTTTCCACCTTCCCTTAGTCATCCAGCATTATTCAATATGCATTGTGTAATCAATGACAATTTGACTGATAAATAATTATACAAGAATAAATAATTGATTAGCGGCAAGCTTTGTCTGAACTATTGATCATTTCATTTTGCTAAGGTACAATTGCAAAGCTCGTTTAAAAATTTCAAATTTTTATTTTTTTTAATTTTACTACTATTATTTATTATTGTATGAGATGAAGAAGTATTGGTAGTATTTTGTATGAGATGAAGAAGTATTGGTAGTATAATATTAAATTATTATTTATGTGACAATTATCATTAGGTCCCAATTATAAGCGTCCCAAAATGGCAAATAATTTTTATTCGATATCATTAATTGACCGTTTTAATCTTTCAGCTTTGATAAGTGACATTTCTGGATGAATTTGATTATTTGATGCATGCATAGATATGCTTTCAGTTATACTTTATGCAAGAAAATTATCAGATTAGATATCAAAGAGTTGAGAAGTGATAACACTTAGCAAATACTTATAATTACTAAAAGTATTACTTAATTTTAAAACTTCTTTAATAATTTATTGATATGCTAGAATCCAAATATTTATGCAAAAATTTTTTTTTACAAAATTTGTTTTGATATTATTATTGTCATATTTTCATATCTGATAAGTATCATACAAATGAAATATCTACTGTTGAAAAAAAAAAAAAAATTTTTTTTTTGAGAAAAATTAGCGAAAATTATAGGATAATGATTGACAATTACTGTGATATTTTACTATTAATATATCAATTTATCAACTGAAATAAATAATTTCATTAAGTTCAAATTATCAGAGAAAAAAAAAACAAACAAATGCTTTCCTGCAACATTTTTTTTTTTTTTTTTTTTTCTATGAATTTATATTGCAATCATAAAAGTTCCATTTTTTTGCCGATTTCTTTTTTACCCTTTTTCACAGCCTTTTTGAGCTCTTTTTTGAATCCTTTCATCAACACTGTGCTAAAATCATTCTTCGAAAGGTAAACAGGAGGTTCACATTCACATTTGACCTTTGCTGATTGTATCTATAAATAAAATAAAATTTGAAATGTCTTGTTATATTCACAATCATATCATTTTATCAGTTTCTGTTTCTCTTTTTTTCTGGGCTTTTCATCATTCAGTTAATTTTATTGGATGTAGTTAATCTTATTTTAAATTAAATATTCATAATTGTTTTAAGAAAGTTTATTTTAAGAAAAAATAATATGCCATATTGTGGAATAAAAAAAAAAAAAACATACAGTTTTCAACTTAAATAGAGTATCGAGAATAAAATGTCTAGTAGTATCACATTCAGCATCCACTGCAAATTTTAATTTCAGCTTATCACCACCTCTGAAATTCAATTTTTCATTATTTATATAAATTTTTTTTTTTGGTAAATTTTTTCATTACTAAACTTTTTAGCTTCTTTTAATTGATTTCATCTTCATTTTTAAGAATTAAGAAAAGAAATTCTATGTCAACAATTAGTCAAACTTAACACCTGTTCTATTTCAGTGACATAACATTTAAAAAATTTGTAATCATATATTATTAATAAAAATTGATGATAAAAAATATTAAATAATGCTTATTTACTGCAATAATTTACTATCAAATTAACTAAAAAAAGAAATGAGCAAATCGTTAAATTAATAATTTTCATTTATTCCATTGATAAAAAAAGAAATTGAATATTAAATTTTTTTTATTTTTTTTTTAAACTAAAATTCCTCAAAAAGGAAGTTGCCTGAATCACAGAATTTAATTAATTGGAAAAGAAGAGAACTGAAACTAATAAGACAGACCCTGATGTTTTAAGTTTTATGCGGCGAATTGTTTTAGCAAATTTATCTTGTACAGATTTAATCTAAAAAAAATTTGTGTTATGATTATTTTTGTAATTTTCTTATTTTGTTCAAAAATTAAATCTTAAATATGCAATTAATGAGAATAAGAAAAAAACAACAGAATCATAATAATTTGCGCTCTTAATTTTTTAAGTTAAAATGAAAGAAATCATAACAATTTGCACATTTAATTTAATCATTCCAAAAAAGTTACTTTAAATTCTTATCGTCTACCAAACTTTTATTCATTTCATAAATTAATTTTAAAAAATATAATTATATAGAAGAGTGAATGATTGATCAATCTGAAATTTTTAAACAGTTTAAGCATAATTTTGCAGACTCATTCAATTATGCAAAATTCAAGCTATCATCATTAATTCATTTTTTAATAAATTACCACCTCTGCTTCCAATTTCTTGACAGTTTCCAATGCTCCATCTGGTGATTCAGTCTCATCCGTTGTTATTATTACTTCAGCACTTTTGCATTTTTGCTCTTCTTCTTCTGCTTCTATTTCTCGCTTTTTCCTATCTGAATTATTCCTCAGTATTAGAATCATTTCAACTTCACTCCTGTAATTTCATTTCAATTCCAAAATGTCACACCAGACTCTTCTGCTGTCGTAGACTCAACTTCATCTGCTGCCTCAGTAGCACCACCAGCTGCATCAGTGACAACACCAGGTACATCAGTAACAACTACACGACGCTCATCACCCTTACCACCATCACCACCAGAAGGTTTTGCACCGCCATCAGGTTTGAGACCACCATTCGGTGATGGTCCACAAGCCTTTGAATTAATGCATAAAATTAATTAATGATATTATTGCTGCAATTATGAGAAATTGTATTTGACAAAATTAGTAAAATAAAAATGAACATTTGCATGATAAACAGAAATACTAACATAAGCAAATGTCGCAATTAGCGCAAATAGAAATATGCAAATGTCAATCTTTATCATTACAAACCTGTAATTTAACACAATCATTGTCATAAAAATGATACTGTAACATCGCTCTATTGTAAACATTTTTTTTTACATCTCACAGTAAGGTTAACTTTTAAGTATACTGTGATAGTAATTACTGTATGTGTAATTATATCTAAATTAATAAAGAAAAAAATCAATTTTGTGTAGACTATTTGATCTAATCATTGAAATGACATTAAATGAAGATGAAAGAGATTAGAAAAAAGCTAACTTAAACATATTGTGTTACTTTTTAGTAAATTCAGAATTATCCTAAAACTTAGAGAATTATATTAAAACTTCTATTGTATGCTATATTAAAACTTCTATTGTATGCTACTTTAAAGTAACCGCCTTAAAAATAAATCTGCAAAAAAAGATTTAAATTTCAAATTATTCATATATAAATTTAAGCAGTAAATGTTATAGTTGTCAAGTTTATAAGATAATTGTTATTTCGTACAAATTTATGATCGAATTTGATGATTTCAAATTTCATCCACTTTGATAGATGAATGTGTCACTGTTGACCTCAAATAATGTATGTTGATTTGGATCATAAAAATATTTAGATGTAAATATTTTCAGTTTATAACCAATGCTTGCAAGTGAAATATTATCGAAAAATGCAATAAAAATTGAAACGAAAACATATGTATAATAAGAAATTTAAATTTGAAATTTGCTTGCTTACTTGGCGAAAAATATTTGTGATGTTATGTTTGGAATATAATTGAAAATTTTTAAGCGATTGAAATTTTCTTTTTTTTTTTTTTTTTTTGAAGTGAGCAAAATACTTTGAAAAGAATGAAAAAATTTTTTAATAAACTTATTAAGTTTGACTTGATTTAGATGAAATAAAGTTTTTGCAAAAGCAGAGAGTTTTTTCCAAGTTTCTAGTACTTTCTTGTTTTTATTTTCTTTCCTTTTATCAGTTGCAAAATTATAATAATATGAAATAAATTGTAGGAAATCGCAAAGTGAGTGTAATTTTTTGATCAAAACTACAATCTCTCAAATCTTTTTGAACACTGTATAAAATAACTAGTGTTTTTTTTAAAATTTTCATTATATTTTACTCTAGCTTAAAGTCTTTCTTGTACAGAGTAAAATAAGCATATCACTATCATTCGGTTTAAAAAGGAGAAAAAAAACAAACAAAAAATTAAAAAGAAATGAAATTTCAAAAAAGTTTTTTTTTCTATTTTAGCAATGAGAAACTGATCAGAATAAAATTCAAGTATTAAAATTTACTAAAATTTATTAAAATTTATCTGAAAGATAAATAAATGCAATGTGCAGTTATGGGTCTTATTAATATAAAACGCTTGCAAATTGAATACCATCATAGCAAAATTGTTTATAGATAAAACTTAAAGAAAAAAAATGTTTGTAAAATATTCAACTGATAAACAATTTCAAGATTAAAGTTGTTCGGTGTCATAAAAATTTCTTAAATTTCTCAATAATTTGATTGTTAATACTATTGAAATATTTTTCATTTATACTGTTGAATAAAGTTTGATAGATTAAATTATAATTGCCAGAATCTTCCCTAAATATATTTAGAATCTCATGAAGAATGTAATATAAAATGAAATTTCAATATTGCCGTAATCCAATTACTCATTCTAAGAGTTTTTTGCATGATTATTTGCAATAATACCTAACATAAAGTTTTGGATCACAATCATTGTTTATTGCGACATTTCATTATCAGAAATAATCATTAGAAAATCTACGACCATTATTATTAATTATCAAATAGCACGCATTAACTATTAATGAAAAGCGAGATAATTCATTATTTTCGAGAGATTTTTGAAATAAGCTGAATTCATTATATATTATTAGTAGCACTAAATAATACAACTAAATAAGACGGTTAAATGTTATCAAATATACGAGCAAAAATTAATTGTTTCAATAAGAAATATTATATTTGTTGATGAAGAGATTATTTTTTATTACTAAATACTCTGTGGTATTAAAAATTTCTATGAAAATTCGTTCTCTTTCATTTGTGATGACATTCGTATGATATTTCATGAGTTATTTGCTATTGTTGATTATTGCTTATATTCTTAATAATAATTAATAACTTCGATTGAGAAATGTTGCGTGAAGTATTTCAAATTTTTCCTTACATTTTTTATTATTTTATTATAATTAATTATTAATGAAAACTTCGAGAAAAATTTTTTTCTCATAATCATAACGATGTTAGGAAGCATTTATCATTTGTTGATTATTGCTCACATTTTCGTTAATGTAATTCTGGTCGAGAAATGTCGCAGTCGAATGAAATAGCCGAAATTCTGCTTTGCATTTCTGTTATTCAATCATCATATATTTATGATTTCATTAAATTAACGACAATTTTCTTATTATTAAATAGCAATGTTAATTTTAAGTTGTAGGATGAATAAAGTTTTTTTGAAACGAAAGATGAAATGGATTAATTATTTTGTTTTTTAACGCTAGATATGATACCAATTCCTCTTCTTATTTTTAGTTTTTGAAAGTTTTTTAATAATTTTCAAACGATTATTAATTTATTTATTAGATTTGTAAAAAGATTTCTCAAAATGTGACGTATTGTTTTTCAAATGCATGAAACATATAAAGTTTACTTCATGATTCATTCAAACATAAAACTATTTACTGCACATTAAAAAAAAAAAAATAATAATTCGAAAAATAAATTTTATATTCAAAAATAATTTGCTTTTGTTCAGATATATAACAGAATAAGTCATTTATCATACAAATTATGCTTTATTTAGAAAGAAAAAAAACAAAATTCTGATGCAACAAATTACAATGTTTACAAATAATTGGAATTGAATGCTTTGTAATTTAACAAGCACTTTTCTAATTTAAGTATTTCTGCTTTAAACAAATATATTTGAAATTTAAAATTTATTTTCAAAAATTTTACCCGAAGCAATGATACTACATGAATTATTTAATAGATGTCATTTTGTTATTGTTAGAAGTGATACGATTTACAGGTGTACGAATTGTTAAACGATAGCATATTAAACTGAAAATCTTTTCACGGACATCGTCTTGACGATAAAGAAATAGCATCGGCATATTAAAAGAATTCAAATATGATAATAAATTACAATACAAACCAATGTGAAGGCAAATTTGATAATCCATTTTGCTGCATATCGTTTGAATCAGTGATGGTGTAACATGCAAAACTGTAATTTTTGTATTTATTTGAAAAGCAAACAGAAAATCGTTTGTTTCTCAGTCTAAGTTTCAATTTATTGCTACACTTTATGCTTTTATCTGATATCTTTTGAATAAAATTCGCATTGCTACCATTTGAAATGCTAGGAGACAAAAATTGTTGTCTTAATTACAATTCAGCACATCAGAATTTCGATAAAATTATTTGTATACTCTTATAAATTAACTTTTATGTTTTCATTTCTACTATTATCAAAATTTATCAGTAAATAATTGTTATGAAAGTAAAATATATATTAATGTTTGCAATAAAATCGTAGTTGACGCAATTTTGCCATTCAATAAATAAATTAAAATTAGCTCAAATTATAAAAAAAAAAAAAAACGATTTAAAAAATGAACAAAGCATAATAATTAAAAACTCTTACATAGTGTAATTATACAGGAAATGAGTGCTGTCAATGTGAATTCCTTTTGCTTCTTCAAAAAATTTTGCAAGTCTCGTCCTACACTTTGTGTATTATTTGCAATTCTATTAAAATGCCTAAAATTATTGGTAAAATTTTGTAAAAAATAATAAATCACTAACAACAAGAAAATATATTATTTATCGATGCTATTTTTAATGAATTCATTGAAAATGGAATTTTTTTTCATATGATGAAACAGCGGTAATATTGATACGTACGACAAATATCCAATCCAATAATTTTCTGTTCAATTGGTTTTTTTTTTTTTTAATTTTCTTTAATGTAAAAATGATTTTTTTGTTTTCAATCAGTTTGGTTGTTTAGCTTAATTCCTGAACTAGAAAATTGAGATTAAAAAGACTTCTGAGATTTTTGATCATTAGAAACTATTGAAAGAGCAGTACCGATTATACAGTAATTCTTAATGATTAAATAAACTATTTTGCATGTTTCATCACATTTTATTTTGCTCATTCATTTGCTCTATGACTTTTAATTAGCGATAAAAGCAAAAGTGAAGAGAAGAAAATGAGAAAAGATGGAAAAAATTTATTGAATTATATGGATTCATCACTTATTACTTTATTGTCTTTTATATTATAGGTAAATTTCATGGACTAAATTTTTTTTGTGTCTGAAATTTGATTCATTTGACATATTGTTGTTATCTTGACACCTGAACATCTACTATTATAATGATTTCTTAATTAGACACATGAGTTTAATTATAATTTTTTTTTACTTTTTATTTTGAAAATATTCATTTTTTTTTTTTTTAATATTGAAAAATAATAAGCCAACCGTTTGTTACAGTGCACGACACACATCATTACAATAACACTCATTAAAGCGCTTGATGTGCTGAATAATTGCACCAAAAATAATGCCTTTGGATCAAGTGCTTTTTGATGACTGAAAATTAAGTTCTAATTTAATTAAATTCTAATTTACAATAACAGTCGATCGTCGATAAATGTTTTCTTTTTTATTTTGATATTAATAATAGCAAAATACAAAATTCTTTGTGGTAGTTGTAACAAATATCATAATTAAATATGCATGAAAGTAAAATTTTTAGTTATTTAACATATGATTCATTAGATTTGTGTTTAATAGGTGATACTATTAATTAGTGTATGATATTACTTATAGCTAAATTCTTCATGACAATTTAAATTATATTATTCTAAAAAGTCTCAATTTAATATGAACACTTACGCGCAATTGCTTCCAGTCATTTTATCTGGGCTTAATTGAGTGATAATAATACTTAACAGTGCAATAGAAAGTGATATAATATACAAGCCAATCAATAAAACTGTGTTTAATTTTCGAATAGATCGAAAATAATAAATCGGATAAGCTACGACAAGTAATCGGTCAATGCTATTTGCCAGTAAGCCAAATGCATTTAATAATTTCATTTGCATAAGGCCTGTGCTAATCTGTAATTATAGTATGATTGAATTAATAACAAAATTTGAATTCATTTTATCTTTAATTGGTTAAGCAACAGAAAAAAAACTACTGCTAAAATTAGCTGGATGAAAATCTGGATGAAATATGAATAGTCTTTTTTTATATTAACGATAAAATTTTTATGTACTATTTCATTAAGATATTTTTACTAATTAAAAAATTTAATTATAAATTTTTGGTTCAGTTTGATTTTTGCAATTATCTAAGATGTATCAACTTATGAATTAATTAGTGCTGTTGTTGGCTAAAAGAGAAATTTTGCCTATTATAATTAGATAAAGCTCTAAATATCACTTTCTTCCAACGCCTGTTGCTTCTTACAAGGTTAAAATTAAGAAATAATTTATAATAAATTTAACAGTTAAATTTTAATTATAGCTGCGAGAATAAAGTGGTGCTATTCAACTAATTTGATGGTTATAATATAGTAAAAAGTTGAAATTATGCTTCATTAATTCAATTTTTTTTTTTTTTTTTTATAAATGCAATTTACTGAAAAAAAAGGTAAGGAAATAATCAGTTATTGTTGCCTTGCATAAAAAGAAAGCTATAATTTTCAGCGAGAGAATCAAGTTCTATGCATTTATTATTTTTAGTGAATAAACAGAAGAATAAGTAAAATATAAATTAAAACTTTTATTAAACAAAATCAAAATTAATGGAAAATTCCATGTCGAAAAAGGAAGTGAATGAAGTGGCATTTAGCAACATTCCTATTTTATTGGATTCAAAAAATTTTACCTTTTTTTATTATTATTTCATAAATTCTCTATTATGTGACAAAAAACAAGCAAACAAACGTTAGCTTTATTTTGCTGCAATTATAGCTCTTTTTCAAGTGTATTCCAATAAATAATTAAAAAACAAAATGTTGACTTTTGAAATTTTAAATATTCTGAAAGTGTTTTCAAAAAAAAATTATCGCAGCCAACCTGAAATACGCAATCCTTATTCGAAACTGCTACATTTTGCAAATAAGGTTTATTGAAGATGAGAATTGCATAACTCAGACTTAAGAGACCAGTGATACCGCCATGAATAAATACAAATGAAAGTATAAAATAATAACAACTGAAATTATCACTTTACAATGATATAATGTAATGCGTTAAAAATTATGGCATTGAGTGTTTTCTTAAAATTTTATTATCACTAATAAAAGACTAATAAAAAAAAAAAATTTTCCTTTTTCCATTCTGCTTATTTCTCTCTAGTTATCTATCAAATTTGTTCGAAATATAACCAAACTCATATCACACAAATTGATTTGTCTAAATGCAAAATATAATCTCGGAAAAAAAATTTATTCTTTAAATGTCAATTTTCAAACAAAAACTTTATTTCGGATAGATCTACCGGAAGTTTTTGTTAATGATTATTGCCATAAATAGCGGTATATTTATTACTGATAGCAGTAGACCAGTTGTTGCATAAACATAAGTTCGAATATAAAAAGAAATTTTATTCAAAAGATCAATTTCTCCGTATGTTGATGTGTTCATTTTGTTAATCCTGAAGATATTATAATGAAATACATGAAGTTTACATACAAGAATACATCAGATATTGCTTTATCAGTGGGATATTGTTAAATTGTTGATTACTTTTTATACAAAGAAAAATATAATTCGAGATTAGTCATTCATCACAAATCAACCAATGGTTTTTGCTTGTCACTAATAATTTTATAAAATTGCTGTTGGTTATGTTAGGTTACGATGGGTATATTCTATAACACAGCGGTACATATATATTACTGTGTCATCAATTACGGTAAGTAGTACAAAGAAATGAGTGAGGTTATCTGATTAATGATATAACCGCAAAATTCACCAAAACAGTTAAAATGAATTTAATAAAACTTATTTTATTTAAAAAAGCTACTTTTTCAAAGGACTGATAACATTAGAAAAATGAACGTCAATTTGAGGAATGAAATTTGTTCAGCACTTTTAAATTAGCTAAAAATAAAAGAATTAGGCATTTTCGCGAATTAACTAATAAAAAATATTAAGGAGAAATCATTGAATATTTAGTGCTAGCTACAATGTCTTTTTGATGGTCTATCCAAAATACTTTTGTATGTGATAAAGATAATATGAACGAAAATAAATGCTTTAGTAATATTTTAAAAAAAAAAAAACAAAGGTTTATAATAATTCTTAACTTAAACCACAACAAAAGTCATCAAACTTGAAATATTAAAAAAAAAAGAAAACAGTGAAATTCTATTTCTCTATTTATTTATTTGTTTTTTTTTTGCTAACATATATCACTAAAAATTAATTATTAAAAGAAATTAAATTCCTTACATAGCGCCATTTTCCAACAATTCTGCTCTTATCTATTTATTTATAATCCTTCACTTCTAATCCTCTACATTTTTATTTCTTCTAGACAGCATAGAATAGACGGATAAAATTATCTGCAAATAATTAAATCATTTTTGAGACAAAGTTTCAAAGAACTGTTAAATTTACTTCATTTGTAATTATGAATTTATCAAACAGAAAATTCATTCCACTAACAAGCTATTTTTTATTCGCAAAAATGAAGTAAAATAGAGAAGAAAAATCTTGAAGAATAAACAGAAAATCGAAAAATGCAGAAATATATATATTTGCATTTAATAAGAACTGAGCAGGCATAATTCTGAAATGCACTACTGATTTTAGTGATGTTTGAAACAGTTTGAATTAATTTCTTTTATTTCATTAGTTTTAGTTCATATCAATGCATGAAAATCCTTTTTTTTTTAGAGAAAATGAATGAATTCTTATACAAATTGCAATTTATATAATAACAAAAAATCACGCAATATTATTATTTTATTTGAATTGAGAACAATGAGTGGAGAGAAAAAACTTTTGAAATGTTTACTGTTGTAAACTCAACAAAATAGAATATAAATGCGATGATTTGTTAGTGCTCTTCTTTGAGTACGGGATAATTCATAGTAATTCATAAACAATCATTGAACAGTGAAATCTATTCAACTACCAATGTTTCAAAGCACTGTCATATTTATTTCAGTCTGTAATTATTCATTAATTTCAGAATATGAAAGAAAGAAAGGAACTGTTTATCATAATTCTACTTCATTATGTTTTGATATTAATTTGAAAAAATTTATTCACTATCGATTGTTTATAAAATTAAAAGTAATTTTTTGAGAGGAATGGTAAAACCGTACCATATTTTGAACAATATATGCAAAAAAATGCAAAGCAAAGAAAAGTGCAAAAATGCAATTAGTTATTCTGAAATCGGTAATAAGCAGTATTCTTTTCTAAGTATTATTTGTTAGCTGAGTGATTTATGAACTACGCATTTTGATGATAAAAGTGAAGAAAAATTCAATTATTCTGCTCAATCATTTAATTTTGTCAGTTTAAATTATATCACTGTTTTTGTAGCCAAAAATGTACAATTAAATTTCAGTCAAATATTAGATTTTTTCCAGCTTCTTGAAAAACTCTAAAAATTACTGCTTATTTTACTTCATATGTAATAATTATAACTTCTTGTAAATTATGCATTTTTCCGTGTGTAATCTGAAGGCTGTTTTTTTCTACTAAATTAGAGGTAGTTTAAATCAATAATGATTCAGATGAAGCAGTGCAAAAGAATTTTATGATATTTTAGTTTAACTTATTTTAACTTATGCTGGCATAATTTAATCTGCTACAATTGAGTTTTTCAAACATTCATAAATAATAAAATATTTGTATAAATAAAAAATATTTTCGCACTTTGTTTCAAATATGGTGATATTTAATACGAATTGATGCTGTATAAGATAACTATTATCTGTATGCAAACTTTATATGTCATCAAACTTTGTAATTTATAAATGTCACCAAATTATTAATTTTGTTACATATATCACACATTGTAGATTTAAAATTTTCATTAAGAAATTTATTTCTTTCTTGTGAAAATGTTCATTTATTTATTTTCAATTCAAATACAAATACAATTTAAGTATGAATGAATATTTGGCTTTAAGAATGATTCAAATAAATTACATTCAATCAATAATGATATCATCATACATGTTAGATTTATTTCAATACATTTATACCGTTGGCTGATATAAAATTGCTTTCAAATGCCTTAACAATAATTGTTCACTTTTAAAGTTTTTAATTATTTAATCTAAATTAATTTCTTAAATTCAGTTTTTTTTTTCAGAAAAATCTCATGCTCAATCAAAAATTTGATCTTTTCTTTCTAAAAAATGAAACTTTTACTAAATCAGATATTTGATCTATTTTATGAGGAATATTTTGCATGAATGGATTTCAACGTTCCTTACTTTACAAACATTGAACATTATCATCATTATCATTGGTACTATTGCTATCGCCTATAAAACACCTGATATATTATAAACTAGAAAAACAAGTGTTAGTGTAAATGAGTGTAATAAATTACAAAAGTTTATTTCATAAAAGCTTAAGTAAAAATGTTTATATGAATTAATTTAAATTAGTCATTGGAAAAACCGAATTTTGAGAAAATCTTGGTGCTTGCTCGGTGCAGTATTTGTTTAATTTTAGCATTACAAAGATTCGACGTCGAATAAGACTATGTGCCATTCCAAAAATGAATGCATGTGACAGTCCACTAATTGATGCGCATAATTGAATATAAAATGCTAATGTTTTAATAAACTGAAATGATTAAGAAATATTTGGAAGACATTTTTTAATATGTAATATCACATTTTACTAAAAGATGATTAAAATATACCATTATTACTTTTCCTTTCTTTTTTCTTTTTATTGACCATTATACTTATATATATATATGATGGAATATTTAATGAAAATTTAATGAAAACAATAAATTTACATTTGATTGAATTCTTTGTGCGCAACCATTTATTCCACCTGGAACAACACCAAATACTGCTGATACAATGATAACATAAAATGATGCACGGCTTGCCTGTATTATTTGATTATTTTATTAGGTATTAGAGTTAAAAAAATATTTAAAATACATAAATGATCACTGGTTTAAAAATGCTCAAAATTTCTGCTAACCATTATTCATGCAGCAAGTTCATTACTTTCTTTTCTCTTTACATTAGCATGTTATATATAATCTATGTTGTGATTTTCAATGACATAAAAAGTTCTCAATAAGTACATATTATTTGAATCCTATTTGAAATTATTTGTCGAAAAGTATACTGTACAGCAATTTCTGATGCAGTAACTACTATACTGTACAGCAATTTCTGATGCAGTAACTACGATATATTAAATAACATTTCTAAATAAAACTTTTTAAAAACAGGCGTCAGAGAAATATTAAAACTTGTAAAACTATTTATTTCAATGTAATGGAAAGGTTTTGAAAATGATAAGAGATCAAGCATTGTATGACAATTTCTAGTGCACAGTAGTATTGCATAATATACGATAATACAACTTATCATTTGGCAAGAGAAACAAGAAGGATTGTATTTTCGTTAGCCAAAAGTTGATTATCAGAAAATGAGAAGAAATATGTTGCTAGCAAGTTCGGTGTTATGATCCATTTATTTAAATGAAATTTCTGAAAATAATTTTTGATTGTTCATTTAAACTTTTACTACTAATGAAAAAAATAAAAAAGATACCTGACAAGAAATGATCTGTTATCACTTCGTAAAAAATGAGTGAAAAGAATGAATATGGTAGAAGAATTGGGATGAAATGTTAACTTATCGGTATATGAAACTTAAGTAATCATTGAAAAGAAAACGTAAAGTAGAATGCAAACTTTTCATATCTTTTTAAGCAGATATTAAAATAAAATGTAATTGTTCATTCTTTTTAATTGTTGGTTCATTTTCTACATGAAAAAAATCACCGCTTCGTAACTCATAGCAACACAATTAAATTTATCATTTCAGACATAATTTTTTAATTATAACAACAATAAATTAGAATGAAAATTATTTATTTAATTAGCATAAAAGCATAAAGGAACTAAGTAAAGGACAAAAAATAAGTAAATAACTAAAAGTAAACAACATTCTCAATAATTATTACGACTGATTTTTAGAAAAGATGGAAAAAAACGAAAATAAACAAAAAAGGAAAAAGACAAGAAACAACGCTAAATACTAATGGATGGTATAGTAATCGAGTTCATTTCACTAATTGATGATAAATGATTATTTTGCTGAATAATTAATTGAGAACAAAATTTTACTTCAAATGTCATATAAATTTGAAAAATTTTCGAAAGCAAATCATTGCTACATAGAATAAATATCCGTTTGCATCCATATATATTGCATTTATTGGTTGCGTCATTTTGCAATAAAATCATATAAATGTTAATGTAATTGAATAAATTATTTGTTATAAAAGTCTAATTTTTGCATTGAAACATTATTTTGCACATTTCAATACAATTTCTAATTGTGAATTACACTTTGAATGTGGAAAATTGTACTCAAATGTAGTTAGATAATGCATTATATTTTCAATTACAAATTACT